GGGGGGGGGGGGGGGGGGGGGCACGGTGAGTTCTTGGACGCCTGGGGAGGAGGTCTGAGCAGAGGCTGGGGTTTCAAATATCAGACCGGTGCTTGCATTTCATGACCCTTATAGACCCTTCCAACCCAGAGATTCTAAAATTGTAAACAACCACAAAATGGCCCCGACTGTAAAAGAAAAGTCCAATCTAACCCAAAGTCAACTCTTCTCCCCATCCAGGAAAACTCTCCTTGAGAAGTCGAATACTGTGCTTAAGCTTCCAACTTTGGAATCATAAGCTCGGTAGCCAAAAGCCTGTGTTTCGACTAAACATCCTCATTCCCACCTAGGAGGCCCACAGCCTGCATCCCCCCGGGTGTCACGGCGGATCCTGGGGGGTGTGGGCACTCGAACTCGAACTGTGTCTCTGGCCCGCAGCCTGCCCACTAACAGACGGCGATTGAGACCGCTGTATAGACTGTCCAGCCGACGGCAGGTGCACGAGTGAGCCAGCGGAGATCAGCTGCTCTGCCCCCCGACCAGAAGACCCACCCAACCAACCTAGAGAATTGGGAGCCGAATAAATGGTGGCTGTTTAAGCCCTTATGTTTCGGGGTGGTTTGTTACACTGCATTAGGTAACTGACACACTAGGGGAGTGGAACAGAAAGAGAACAGAGAAAGCAAAGAAGAAAAAGAACACAGAATAATCTGAGAATCAGCCAGTAAATGTTAAAATACCAATTAAGGCCTCTCATGTGAGACAGTGCGGTCTTTCATGACAAGAGGACACAACAATTTGTTGAAAGCAACTGGGAAATCACTAAAGAATAAAAGAAACTCCCTCCTGTTGATGGGTTTGGTTTTTACAAATTGCTTACCACTATCCAACGCCCTCACTCTCCTTCCCTCTTAGAATAGGGTCCTGAGGTCAGGGATTTTGTTAGTTACGTGCCTAGAGCAGTACTGGGCAGACCCAGTAGGTGCTGGGTGAAGGGGTGGATGACAAAATGGAACCAAAGGACTTCTGGGATGTAGGTCAAGATCAGGCATCTGCTGGCAGGTCTAGTTCAGTCTAAATTTTTTTTTTTTAATGTTTATTTTTGAGAGAGAGAGAGAGAGCACAGCGGGGGAGGGACAGAGAGAGAGGGAGACACAGAATCTGAAGCAGGCTCCAGGGTCTCAGCTGTCAGCACAGAGCCCGACGCGGGGCTCGAACCCACAGACTGAGCGATCGTGACCTGAGCCGAAGTCGGATGCTCGACCGACTGAGCCACCCGGGCGCCCCAGGTCTAGTTCAATCTAGAACAGCTCTCTGAAGCTGGGTTCTCAGGATTAATTGGAAGCTGAAAGTATCCTTGGTCTCTGTGGAACACAGAGGATCCAGGGAATCAACATCAACTTGGAAATGACTGCCATTGCGAAGACAGTCACTTCTGGGGACTCGAGAATTAAAACAACCCCCGGAACAGCATTATCAGTAATCTAGCTGTTTTTACCATACATCTTGGCATTCACCCTTTCCACCCTCCACTTTTTTTTTTT